ACACATCATCTAATTTAAGTAATCAAAACATTTCAATTATAAGTATATGTCATGTTGAAAATTCTTTATATATTAATGTAGGAAAAACATGACGATAAATATATTAATGGAGAAAAAACATAATGATAAGTAAATGGAGAAAAAACATGATGATAAGTAAACATTAATGGAGGAAAAACATGATGATAAGTAAACATGATGATAAGTAAATAGAGGAAAAACATGATGATAAGTAAACACTAATGGAGGAAAAATATGATAAGTAAACATGATGATAAGTAAACATAATGTTTAATTTAAATAGTTATCATCATGATAAGTAAACATGATGTTTAATATAAGTAGTTATCATAATATAAGTAAACATGATGTTTAAACATAAGTAGTTATCATCATGATAAGTAAACATGATGTTTATAACATAAGTAGTTATCATCATGTTTACATATTATCATGATAATAACTCCGTATGATAAGTAAGTAAACATAAGTAGTTATCATCATGTTTACTTATCATCAGATGTTTATCATAAGTAGAAATCATCTCCCGGATGGTAATCTAAAGAGATACCTATTTATGATAACTAAATGTTTTTTTTTAAGTGTAGTTGGATATTCTTTACCTCCGTAAAAATCACGGGGGGTTCCGAGTCCTAGTATATATAATATTCAGCCAATTTATGGGTTAACTTTTTCCAAATCAATGTGTTAAAAATATGAAATCTTTAGAACTAAAGCAATGTGTTATATATAATGGAATAAAATCTTTTAAAATTTTCCTGCTAAAAAAGGCGCAATTTATCAAAAGCAATTTGTATGTATCTCAGTGCTTCGTATTTATACTCACAACTTATATATTATCCCAATGCTTTCGTATTTATACTCACAACTTATATATTACACGTATGTAGACATTTATTACTAAGTTCAGTAACATGGACGAACTTAAACACATTGGTACGTAGTATGATTCAAGTGCAAATCCAACACAAATAAAGCAATATAATTAAGACAAATCCTACATAAAAGAATGTTTATTAGAAAGAAAAAAACTGTGAGAGGCGCGTGAGGAAATGGGCAAGTGGGTCTGTCGCTTTCGAATTGTGACTTGAATTTACTATAACACCCTTCCTCTTTTGAGATCTTATTTTTGACACACATGGGTAAATTTGGAATAATTGTAAAAGAAATTTGATACTCGCAGTTTCTACTTTCTTTTGTTCTCAACTCTTTTTCTTCTCTAAGAAAAAAATAAAGATGACTCACTAATTGAGTGACGTGGCTTCCTTCGGGTGGGGTCCATAAAGGAAAAAAGTGAAATTGTTAAGAAAAAACAAAAAAACGCAACCCTAAGTATTAATAACCACAAAATATATTTTCGAAAAAGAAGCAATCCTATGATGCATTTGTAACCACAAAATAATTTTTTTAAACGCAACTCTATGATATATTTGTTAGGATTGCCATTTGAAAACAGCTATTATTGACAATATATACAAAGATTGGTATAATGCGAAAGGTAAATCATGGCAATGTACGTATGAAAAAAGTTACAAAAAGACCTAACTGAAGTCTAAATAACCATAATTTTTATTCTGAAAAGATGCAACTCATGATACATTTTCACATATGATAGACACCCTAGGATGCATTGTTAACCAGTAAATGATTTTTCGAGAAGACACAATCCTAAGATGTTTTAAAAATCATACAACTGTTTTTCAAAAAGATGCAATTCTAGGATTCACTAACAACCATGATTTTTGAAAAGTTGCTTTAATAATCATACAACAATGTTTGAAAAAGACGCAACCATATGATGATGCATTAATAACCATAAAATAGATTTAATCAAAAAATGCAACCTTTATATGCTTTAATAACTATAAAACCGTTTATTTGAAAGAAAAAACGTAATCCTGTGATGCATTAATAATCATAAAACATTTTTTTAACACAACCATGTGATACATTAATAACCATAAAATAGAGTTTTTAAAAGACCCGCTCATATAATGCATTAATCACCATAATTGAGCTTTTTGAAAAAACGCAATCATAAGATGCTTTTTATAATCATAAAACGATTTTTTTAAAAAGATGCAATCACATGATTCATTTATAATAATAAAACAGATTTTTCAAAAATACGCAATCCTAAATATTTTTTAATAATCATAAAACAGTTTTTCAAAAATACATAAAATGAAATTTTGAAAAGACGCAACATTTAGATGTTTTAATAACCAAAAACGATTTTTTAAAATAAAAACATAACCTGATGATGCATTAATTCAAAAATCTTAGAATTTAAAATTAGCCATAAAATCTGCATTATCTAAAGAATTCACCAACATTTGTTACACAACTCAATAATTTTAGGAACTTCTACAATCGTAAAAAAATCTATACTTTTGCATAATTTGAAAATAATAGAAACTCGTTTTTATCATTGTTATACATTGAGTGAATTTTAAAATTAGTAGTCGTATATAAATACACAAATGTTCAACGAAAAGTATATAGAGTTAAAAGCACAAATATTAGTTTTTTTCCCCCAAAAAGACATAGTAATATTTGCATTATCTAAAGAGATCCAAAATTTTGTACACAAATCAAGAATTTTATGAACTTCATCAATAGTAAAAAAATCTATATTTTAAAATAATAGATTGATGTTTTTTTTATCTATCTTATGATTTAAGTGAATTATAAAACCAATAGCCATAATTAACAAATATTTTTTTCGAAAAGATGCAACTTATAACGATAACCATAAAGCGGTTACTTAGAAAATAACTACTTAACGGTTTTTTACGAAAAGTCACAAACCATAAATACTTATTTTCGAAAAGACACAATTTTTAAAGAAAACCAAAAAGCGGTTATTTTTGAAAAGACGCAACTTTTCATGAAACAGTAGTGAAAAGAAACAACCCTTGACAAAAGGGTTACAACGAAAAAATACAACTCTTGATAAAGCGGTTTAAACGAAAAGATGCAATTTTTGCAAATAACCATAAGCAATTATTTCCGAGAAGACGCAATCTTTCAAAATAACCATAATGCGATATTTTTGAAAAAAACTCGACTCTAACATAAACTTATAAATACAAGACGGTTTTCCAAAAAGACAATAAAAATATTCATTTGTTTGGATTTGC